TTGCAAAGCTTGAAGCCTGTAACAGACTGTGAATGCTGTATTTCATAGCATTCACAGTTTGAGGCCGAAAAAAAGTTACAGGCAAGCAAGGATTTTGGCATCCCCCGTTGGGAAACGGCACGAAAAAAGTTACAAGTAAGCAAAAACAAAAGTTACAATTAACTAATTCCAGTTGAAAACACTAAAAGCTACAAGTAAGCGAGAAAAGAAGTTACAACTAAGCGTGCTTCCCCAAGCGAAGTCTTACATTGACGGCGTTTCTCATGACCGAGCAGGTCCAACCAACTTGCAATGTCGTGAGCACATTCGGATGCCTCCCAAACGCTGAAAGGACAACTCTGGGTCAACTTGCTACACCGACGTGTGCAATTTTTCAGCTGGAACCTTTGTGATATGCTCGCAGAATATTGTTCCAGATGTGTTCAGAACCATGAAGGGACTTGCCCTTGGAATGCAGCGAAGCAGGAATGTTCATGTTTGTTTGCAAACTCCAAATTAATAATGGGCCAATATTTCATGACTTTTTACATCGAGTCGTTGGTACGCTCCATGGTTGACATGGTTGTCAACGTGCACATTTTTTACTTGCAAAAACCGGTGCCCAATCCATGCCAGATGAAATTTTCAAAGCCTTGTTGTCGTTGTTGCATCTGATTCTTACAGTCATCATTTGGCATATTAGTCACCGGACAATTTTGACGTGTATGTGTTGCATCATGAATGCTTGTGAAACCCAGCCCGGTGTGCCGCAAGAAAAGGTTGCTGGTCAACATTGAGAACAGGTCGCTGTTTGCAGTTTCTTCTTGTTTGTCGGTAGTGGCTCCATTTTCAAGCTGGTCGTGCAAGCTTATAATTTGTGCACTTGTTTAGCTTTCCACAAGGTTAACGGTAGTGCTAGGCTGTTAGGCAAAAAATTGCACATCCAAATTATTCAATGTTCGTGTATGTTGTTGTGACAAAAAACGGACACAGCATTCCTCATCTACAACATGCTTACCTGTGTGATCCTGTGTGTCCCGCTGCGGCACCCAAATGGCAGATGGCGCAGCTTCCCAACATATCCCACACAAACCCTTTTAATGGCAGCTGACAACTTGTCTCTGGACCGGACAAAGTGCCAGCATTCGCAAGCTGCCGTGTGTGAGAGCATGATTTTTGGATATTTTGGAGGGGCTTTTGCTGATTGTTTCTCAGGAGGAATTCCTGACCTCTTGCAATTCGTCATGGAGCTCGCGGGACCGAACATCTGCGCTGAGGAAGTTGGGTCGCATCGGAGTTTCAAATGTCGCCGAGCTGTTGCGTGGAAGGCTTAGATTTCTAGCACAGTCTCAGCGGTAGCTGCTGTTGAAGTAACAGTGTGGAGTGACAAGGCTTGGAACAAGATGGGCTTTTGAACAACATGCTGGCTGCTGCTGGCGAGCGGCGTTTCAGTCCAGAAACATTGGCCAGCATCCGAATGGCAGGCTGGACAGCTGCGCCCCGCTGTTGTTTTTATTTGCACGCAAAGGCTTGTACTGTCCGATGTTTCAACGATGACAGGAACAGCGGAAGAAGACAGCGAGCAAGACATTTTGGAAGAATTCGCCCAACTTCTCAGCGATTGCGTTTGCGTTGACAGGACCGCCGTGACGGTATTCCATTCAAAGTGCATCAAGACAAATTCATCATTTTCTGCAAGCTTCCTTCGCGCAGCTGCGTGCCTTGTTATGCTGGACTGCCCAGTGCCTCATGCGTTTTCCTGCCATCATTTGCTCCCAGAAGTCTATGCAGCAGACATCGCACCATCGCAATCTTGGATGAGTTCGTTTGCGTCTATCCGACTGAGCGAGGATTGCTGTTGCAGGTTTCATGCGCATCAAAGATGGCCGCATCATGTTTTGCGCGCATTTCCTTTTTGTTGGTCGCAGGTCGTGTAATGTGGTTAGTGCAGATGCAGTTGTCCATGCGTTGTTGTAGGTAATGGCAATGGGGCTTTAGTGTAAATCGGCAAGGTAGCTACGCACGGCATGCAGGTTTGCAGTCCGAGATTCCCCACATTGGTTGTGCAATCAATTTCTTGTGACGTGCCTGAGCCAAAACATATTTTTTGCGATGGAAGAACATGTGCAATATACGCAATGCCTCGTACGGCCTTGAGACATGTTTCTACAAGCAATGATTCCGAGCGGATATTGGCGAATCTATTTCTGGAAACCTGTTTTTTTTTTTTTTTTATAGTTATTTGATTCGCGCAGCAGGTACATGTTGGTTTCTTCTGTGTGATTTGAAGGGTTCATTTTGAATCATTCTCATTTGTGGATTTGGAGCGCAGATCCGCGGACGTGTGTGATCCTGAATGCCAATTTGACCAAAATTCTCACCACCCAGGCCCAAGCCTTTTGCCACTTGCTTACACCTGCCGGTATGTGTGTGGAGGTACTGTCAGGCCTAGCATGCAGAAATAGACAAATGGTCAAGATCCCTTTCTTCAATGCATCGATTGCATTCGACTGTGGTACTTTGATGCTGGCATATCGCCCGCGCTGAGCTTCTTGACGTGGCAACTTGCGGGAGCAGCAGACCCCTGCATGTGGAATGCAGGGTTTGATTTTTTTTTGCTCGCCTCCCCAACATTTTTGTTTCGGCGTCAGAAGGCATGAGTTCAACATCCCGCATTGGTTGGATTGGGCTTCGGACGTGGCAGATGGATGAAATTGACCGTCCAGCCAAAGAAGGCTAACTGCTTGATTAAATCAGGTGGGGTTATGGTTGTCTCCCATGGCGGGTAGACTGGTGAACAGTCTGCAGGAACTGAGGCATGCAACCCGGGGAAGGGTGCAGCTTCCACATCATACAGGGCAAGAACCGACTGCAGCTCCAAAATTGATATTGATAGGCTCACCGACCCTGATATTGATTAAGACCTGAAGCTTTTCCTAAAATTTCGGACGACGCACCCCCGCAAGTCCAAACCATTGCAGTTTTGAACCCGACGCGACGTTTTAGCAGGTGCCACCCCAAGAAAAAGGTAGTGGTAAACTCGCACGGATGACGAAAGTGCGCGTTGCGTAAGTACCATTCGTGTTCAAAACGCTTACTGTCACCACCTTGTCGTTCGAACGAAAACGAGCTGGCCACGACAGCTTGAATTCCGGCAATCGAGACGAGAGTGGGCAACCGCGCGAAAGATGGAGGTGATCTGATGGATGTTGGGAACAGCGGGGTTCCGGAATGGGGTTTTGAGGCAGCGCACTTCATTGGCCTCCACACGCGCTTCTGCGCGCTTCGCCCCTGTTGTTGCGCGGCGCGTGTGTTGCTGCACGTGTCCAGCATTGCGCGGCCGGCTTTGCCCTCGCCGCTGCCAAGACACTCGCCGTCACTCCAGTGTCTCGTATGCCGCACGGCGCAGCAGATGTTAAGGAGTCACCGCTGGAGTTCAGCGAGCTCCTAACGAAGAGTGCTTTCTCGACGCCCTTGTGTCCAGCTGCATTGCCATGCGAGCTGCGGGGCCTTGGGCATTCCAGGGCCTGGATTCGGGCCTTTCTGCATTCCTTATACTTTCATCCACGTTGGATTTGAGCTCTGCACCTAGGAATAGGTTGCCGGAGCGGAACATAAAAACATGCACCTGTTGCGAGGAGTGATCTTGCAACAAAAAGCACATCATTTGCAAAGCGTAGATCAAGCAAAGGCGTGATACGGCCCCTCAAGTCCAAGCCAACGCGGCTGTGGCATGATGATGCTGCTGCTGCACTTCAATCCCCCTTGCCCATTTAGAATGTTGTGCAGAAATGGTGAGAACCCCAGCCCAAATATCAAACCAAAAGCATCCGGTGCCGTCATCGCCCCTGACGGCAATCAACATGATCCGTACCAGGGTTCGGACACGCCGGCTGGCAACACAGCGTGCTAAAAAACAAGGCCTGGTCAAAAAACCCTGAAAAAAAACCAGTGCTGATCACCCCAAGAGGCACGCCAACTACCAGGGACCAAGCCACGCCAGCGGCATCAAGCCAATCCGCAGTACAGTCTTGGTTGAGAGCCACTGGGGCCAACCCGGTGCTTGCGAGCCGCTTCCCATGCTAGCTTCCCGACACGGAGAAGAGGCGCAAGAAAAAACAAATCCTTATAAGATGTGGTTTGGCTGCGAAAGTGCCGACGTGTGAGGCAATGGAGTATTGCAGACTGTTCCTGGTTTCGTTTGACACAGCGCCCCACCCACTTCGCACAATACAATGGTCTCAATGCTTCGTCCCCCTCACTGTCAGCTATGCCGGCGAGCGGCCGCTCGAGCAGGGAGCTGGTGAAAGCGTGCCGCGCCGAACCGGAGTTCGCAGCGAAATTCAGGCAGTTTTTGGTGCGACGCGGGGGTGTGCAGGCACATTCGCGGCCTCTGAAAAACCTGGCTTCCTGGGCAACATATATGACATGAGGTGCATGTGAGCTCGGGGCTGGTGTCGCGCCTTCTCGAGTGGGTGGCGTGACGGATGGCCTGCTGCATCTGCTGTGGGGTCGGGCCCGGGGCCCGCATCGGTGGCGAATGTGGCGACAATGAGCTGCGAGCCCTGGCACGGGGACACGATGCGGCGTTCGGAAGGTCAGGTCAGGTCAAGGCCTCGTGTATAGACACATGGGCGAGAAGTGCCGAACAGCCGATTCGCTGAGCTGGCACTCATTAGAAACTGTGCGGAAGCACTTTTTCCCGCCATACTTTTGATGGCTCGTTCTAGAGGTATTCCAGGCTTTGCCGGTCGCCGCACATGTCCAAGGCAAGTTAATAAACTTATGCAGCCAAAATTTGTTTCGGTATACCCTTCTGCCTGCGACCGTTGGGCATTCGTGGCTCAAAAATCCTCCCATGAAGGATACATGTTCGCATGGCATCGCCAGGCGGGAGCTGCGCCACTCGGCCTGTAGCAAGCGTGCTGGATCCCAAGTCGTTTGCGAAGGCATCTCAAGAGTGTGTGTGTGTGTGTGTGTGTGCTTTTTTTTTTCCGTTCCGGACTTTTCCTCCCTGCTGTTCTCGCGGTCCCAATGCCTGGCGCGTAAAGCGCAACACGGGGGGAAGGGGGAAAAGTGCAGTGGCGCTCACGCCCTGCGTGCAGGCAGGAGGCTGCTCAGCGGCGTGACATGCCAGCGGGCATCGGCCGGAAGCTCATGCAGAGATGGGTCGGGCCCACCAGCACTGCTCTCGTGGCCCGGCGGGAGTTCAAGGAGGGACGCAGCGAAAGGCTCGCTGTGCCGCAACCGCCAAAATGCCGCTCCACCGCAAAACTCACGCGGCTCGCGCTGCTGCACGGAGGGGTGCCGGGACGGCAGCCGCGCGGGCGCGAGCGAACAATCGGACAAATGGCCTGGGCCTCTGAGGCCCACCGGCCTCCGACCTCAATTCCCAAAACCGCAAGGCGGCAGCGGCGAGCTTGGCCAAGTTCAGGGTATGTGTGGCGTCTTTTGGGCTGGGCGGCGTGGGCCAAGGCAACGCCAGGTCGCGACTCCGCCCCTGCACGCGGCTGCCCGTCACGGCCCACGGGGCTGACAATGGTGGCATCAACAGCAAGGGCATCTTGGATGGGCACGTCAAGGCATCTGGCTTGAGAGGCATCAACCGGGCGGAGCTCAGCTTTGCGCAGCAAAGCTGTATGCAGAGAGTACAAAAAGTGTGCAATCACACGTGCCGAGAAAACATCCAGTTTTTTTCTTCAGCCCGAGGTTGGCAGTTTTCCAAACCCGGTCCAGGGCATCAAGATCGCCCTTTGCCATCCCAAGCCGGTGGTTCAATTCTGAATTGATGGAAAAGTTTGCGGAATCACCCATCCAAGGTATGTTATAGCTTGTCTGCGTTTGAGAGCGAGCTTCTAATTTGTCGGAGCACATTCAATGATTCTGCGTCGTCCACAGCATATGGATCATATCAAGGGGTCCTGGCGAACGAGGGGGATGCCGGCAAAAGTGTGCCAACTCCAATGCGAAATTCATGAGATATTGGGTCGGTTGCGTTCCTGTCATCTTTGGATTCACGCCCCTGACGAGCCCGCCGCATGAGGACGAAGGCAGCAACACATCTAACTTCCCGGCTCGAATCTCCGAACTTTGCATGCAATATGTACGGCTGCAACATGGGAACCGTCCGTTCTTGATCATCATCACGACCCTGCCCGTTGGCCATGCAAACGTTGCAATTCGACCACCGGATCGAAGAGCATCAACTGTTGATGGGCAAGGCCAATGTCAGTCAGTCAGTCTACCTGCATGCCGGTAGGCGGCCCCTCAGGGGCGCAGGCGCAGAACGAAACTCCAATTTGCTATTGGTCGTGCAAGCGCTCGATTTCAAACACTGCACATCACTGCTTTGCAAAATTAACAAAAGCATCACATGCATGTTGCCAATCTCGGGAATGTTGGGCATAAGCCGTCCAATATTCCCATCCCATGACCCGAGCAAAAGCTTCCAGTTGTGTGCACCAAGTGTTTGGTGGTCTGCCCACACGAGTGCCAGTTGGAAACCATTCCAGAGCACGTCTGACCCAGGTTCTGGATGGCAAGCTTGCAACGTACGAAGCGAGTTTCCAGTACTGACGAAGACATGTCTCAGACCAACTTTGCAAGTGAAATTCTTCACTGAAATCACGGACGCGTCTG